ATTGGGCGCACACTGGCAGAGCTCATCCAGGATAAGGTAATTTCGTCTTCCTATCCTCCCCTCTCTCTTCACCCCGTATGCCTCTTGGACTACGTGGAGGTTCATTCAATGTTCCTATGCCTGTTGGACTCCAGTGCCATCACAAATTAACTTAAAGGTGTTGTTGATGCCAGATGTTTAAACAGCATTTTTATTGAGGATTTTAAAGTGCAATCAGGAACAAAGTGTATATTTTAAACAACTTGACTGCAGTGGTTATTTTTGGCACTCCTTGCTGAAAGCCTCTGCTGGCAGAGATGAAAATATCTTAACACAGTTCCTCTGACCCATGTAATATGAGGGACTTTTCCCTACTATATTTGTCTATGAAAAATCTCACTAGACTGATAGGGTTTATAGTAAATCCTGCAGAATCACACACATCTTTTATAGTTTCCCTATACTGGTTCCTCTTCTACCCAGTCAACGAACACAGATGTAGGTCAGTTTATTTTCCTGTCTCTTACAAATATTAGTAAATCATGTTTTTGAGGGATTTGAATGTCTTTCTGGACTACAATTTATTTATTTATTTATTTAAAGCAACTTGAGCCAAAATTCTAGAGCTTAATGGCTCTAGGTGAAATTGGTACAAAATACAGTTGTAAAATATGTCATCTCAATTTCCTTCCAGCCTTAATTCTGTGGCAGTGACACACTGAGAAATTTGTCTTCCTTAGAGGAAGAAAACCAAAATTATTTAAAAGCAAAGGGACATCCAGAGCTACTCCATTTTTTTCAGGAAGCATTAAAGCAAAATTAATGAGAAATCTCAAAGTGTTCTTTTAAAATTGATTTCTGATAAATTTGGACTCTAAAGCTATGCAAAAGATTGTGTGCTCATTCAGAGCACATGTGACTTTAAAAAGGCAAACAAAAAGAGGCAAAATGGTAACTTCTGATAGACATAGATGACCTTCAAATATTACAAATCATGTTACAATCAAAAGGGGTGGAAAATACTAAGTATTTTTTTTTTACCAAAGGAGAATATAAATATAGAATATATATAGAGAGTATATACACATATCTGTTAGAACTCAGATATAGCAGATTTAAAACCAGAGTAACACTATTGCATTTGACGCTGCTTCAGCATTCATGTATGTTTTAACTCCAATCAAAATGTTGGGCTCTCTCCCTCAGTGGGAGAAATACCCTGCACAGAGGGCTAAACCCAGCATCTCAAAGAGAAGGCTTTGCTTGTCTTGGCTACAAACATGAGTAGCAACATCACGCAAGCCCTACAAAGATGCACACACTCTATATGAGGTGTCTAATGCTGGTGGCTGAGTTACCAGTCTGCTTTCTCAACACTGTTTCTGCTGTGAATGAAGAGCTATGGGGCATCCTGAGCCAAAGGCCTGACATGGTGCTTTAAATAGCCTTCAACCAAGATTCATTCTTTTCGCTGACTATAATGCTCAGGCTCTGGAACTGGCCAGCCACCTTTCATGTCCTGAAGGCTGGCAGCATGGCATAACCTCCCTCACTGTCTACCTGCCTATGCTGTAAGCAGCGGCATCTATTCAGTTTGGCTGGGCTGAGCTAAGCATTCCTGAAGCACAGCTTTGCATGTGGGCCAGTCCTTACATCCATAGAAATACCTGGGCTAGTCTTGAAATTACACTCTGATGACAAAAAACAAGAAACAACTGTCTGGAAGAGGAATGACATATTAAAGAACAAAATGGATTCTAATGTACTTATCCCACTAAATAATGTTCCAGGCTAAAATCCCCAGAAGATAGAAAATACCAGTGAAAACACTGCTGCCAGCCAAGTATCTATGAAAATCAATGACAAAGCATATTCTTCTTCTAATGGCTTGTGTACACAGAAGATGGTAGTTTACTGCTGCTTTGGATCTAAAGGATGCAGCTTTTCTGAGGAATTATGTATAGATCTGTATGCTTCTGCTTGGTATATTTCTAGATGACCTCAATGCTTCTATGTTTTCCTAGCACGGTGGGCAAGATTTTTTTTTTTTTTTTTTTTTTTGGTAACTGAGAAATTGCATGTTTAAAATTTACATTAAGAAACAATTAAGGCTGTAATATTAAGCACTCAAAAATTATGAAGACCAGACTTCAGATACATAGGCTTATTGTATCATGATAACCATCCTTAATGATGAACGCAGAAAACACTCCTGTCTTATTCTGTGCACAGTGGAGCTGGGGAAAGTCAGGTCTGTGGAAACAGCTGGAGAATCTTTGCTGCAGAATGAGTAGTAAATCAGAAAGGGACTGTCAAGAAAGGATTGTCTCATTCAGAAAGGGAATAGAGCCCTAAAAAACTAATCTGCCCCTGCCACGGAATTCCTACTCAGGGCTTTGGAAGTCACTTGAATCATGTCTATTACAAGTTACTAATCTTATATTCCTTTCTCCATGGCATTTGCAACTACAGCTGGAACCACTGGAAGCTTGGCTTTGATCATACTAAAGTGCTACAAATGCTTAGCTGGGCTCTGGATGTTTCTTGTTAACCACCTATCACTACTAAATGACTCTGACGTTAACATTTTTTGTATTCATTTCCCATTTGTAAGACAGGCAAACCAGTACTTTTTAACTTGACAAGAATGTACTGAAAATACAGTACTAATACCTACAAAGCACTTCGATAATACAGTAATGAGTATCGTGGGAAAATCTTTGAGGAAATTAAAAATTTTATTTTCCCAATAGGGTTTAAATACTGTGCAGCAGGAAAGGCATGGCACTGAATTATGGAGAGGAAGCTCCTGAACAACAGCCTCTTTAATGAGCACTGACCATCATGTACACTGAATGAAGGAAGACACCCAGAGTGCCTGCCTTATTACCATGTGATGATATGATCAGCTGATATGTAACCATGTAATTAGGATGCAATGACAATCTTACAATGCATGCACAAAAAGCAGGGAACCTCCCTCCAATTTTTTATGCTTTCTAACTTATTTTAACATCTCTTTTTCCTCTGAGGAACACATGTCTCATTGCTAGTGGACTTGGGCCAATATATCTGAAAACCTCTTCTAGTATTCTGATTCAAATCTGGCTGATAAAAATTCACTTAGTGAGGTACTTATTCTCTGCCACTTCTTCACTTAAAACAGAGAAGCAAGCTCTGACAAACCCTGAAAGGCACAGTCTCCTGGAGGCACCACGATAAATCAGAATAATTGAGAGGGATACAGAGATACACCAGGGGTATATCAGACTCTACCAGTCCCTGGTGTACAGGGCTCCAGACCCAGTCCAGGCTGACAAGGGCCAAGTGTCTCCTTTTCAGCTCTTCAACATAGCTGTGCTCAGTATTTGCAAAGCTGCAGCTCTAGATTTAAGCCAGTTCCATTGAAATGGTTAGCTGTGAAAAGGTTTTTTTAAAAAATCAAGATTTGGTTTCAGAACTAGACCTTTATAAATAGCCTGCTGTAATCTTGCAATTATTGTCCTAGGCTATCTGGCTACAGTTTTATGCTTCTTTGTGTTTGGAAGGGCTACAAGTACAGTTATTTTAAATAAGACTCTGGAACACATTTGCAGAGTGTGTTGTGGGTTTAGGGATCGGTGTACTCTGCAGCAAGCTCGACAGCCTTGAAAAACACAGCGTCCCTACTTAGAGGTCTGTCAGCAAAACTTCATTATACTTCTAACTACAATTTGAACAACACAGGGCACAGAATAAATTCAAATTTTTCACTCTATTAATCCTCGAGGCATATTGTTCTAGAAAAGGTTCTAATCCTCCTGTCACCATCTCACTATGAAAAAGGACAATGTAACTCCTAAGGAATGTACATATTTGTGGAAACAAATAACAAACAACATAAATAAACATCCTCTCCCACTTCACCAATGTAGCTGATGTTGCACTGCAATTAACAGCACGCAATGTTAACTTCTAATAAACACTGAGAATGTAAATTACCATAAAGTCAATTTTCCTCTGTGCTTTTGCCTTTGGCCCTGCGTAGCTTCCCAATACTGAGGAGCAATCAAGCTGCACAATATCCTGTGGCATTTCTTGATGATGTTCAAAGGTGATTCTTTTGACTTTCTACTTGGGAACTAGTATAATTTAAGCATGTTTACACAGTGGGGAGTTCAGGAAGAAAAAAGCTGAAGTGGAAGAAAGGCTATCACAAAAATACTGGCCCTATGCAAAGCACAAAACATGTTTCATGTAGTTTTATTGCACTTCCTTATTTTTTTGTCTCTCACAAAGGTAACAAGTAGGAAAGTAAGCTATTGGAGTCAGATCTAACAATCACTGAAGCCACCAGAAAGACTCCCATGCAATTTGGAAGCTTTCAGATGACAATGCTGAGTTACAGAGGGTCAATTATTTTAACCTGTAGAGAAAAATTTCCAATTTTGTGCGCTAATGAATATCTACATCTTCAGCATCCCAGCTTCGAGAATACATCACTCGGGGTTTTTCTTTGAAGAACAGTATATATGATACAGCTCTATGTTTTCCAAGTAATAACAAGAAAAGTAGACTGTGTGCAGTGGAATCAGGACTAGAGCAAACATTTCTATCCTTTAAAAAGGACGAATTAACACTCTTAATTGATATTTCTAGTGGGTTTACATTAAATCCATTAGTAGATTTATCAATGCATCTATCATTGTGGACCTTCAAAATATTGCAAGTCAGAATCCTCTATGCTTTATTTGTTTTCCTTTACAAGGGAAGCCTGGATTAAACTGATCCCTCACTTTTTTTTGCATTCATAGGAAGGTAGAAAAGATTATATCATTTTGCTAACAGAGACATTGCCAACATTCTGTTATTCAATCCCTCTTATCCACCCCCAAGTACACCTTCTGCTGAAAAAACACATTACTAAAATTACAAATCACCTTTGGCCAAAACAAAGCTGATTTCTTGGCTTCTGGAAAACAACAACAATGAAGCAAATAAGACATTTGGGTGCATTTGAGATTTAATCTTCATCTACCTACATTTGCAGTCCTTCTGGTTTTTGGCAAGTTCAAAGCCAGGCCTACATTCACAGGCAACCCCACCTTTGGGCGTCTCCCGGCAGATGTGTGCACACCCGTGATCTTTGTTCATACAGTTCATACCCTCTGTAACAAAAAGAAAGAAAAATGGAAAATATTAGCATTGAAATAAAATTACAAAATAATTATACACATCCAGTCCTCCAGTAATTTTAATTGTAATTTTAATTTTGCATCTGGACTGTGTTCCACAAGGCAAAAGAACATGGCTGAAAAAGAGGAATACAATCAACAGAACAGCATAATAAAGGACAAACCTCCTCTGGGTCAAATATGAGTAATACTGTAGAATACAGCATGCCTCTGCTGCATGTAGAAACCCAGGGCTTGTGATTTCCATATTCCATATTCATATTCTAATCTTTCATGAAAATATAAAGGATTCAAAGGATACTCCAGGAAGTTGTCTATTCCACAGGTGATTTATAAGAGTTGAACAACTGAGCTCACTGGTATTTTTTCCACGTATAAATTTAATGGTAGTTACTGTCTGGTGCATTTTTATTTGCCTGTTAATGTGCTTTATACTCTCTAACACACAAAATCTACCAAGGATTATAGCTGAGATTTTTTGCTTGGATCTGTTTCTTCACTATTTGTTATACATCTCAATTATCTGTGTCATCCACAATAAGTGTGGCCAATCTCCAACAAACCTGCTATGACTTTTCTCTTTGACTATGTTAAACAAAACACACCAGCTGTTCGACAAACATCCAAGTACCATGGGTGGATTCCTGTTAATGTTTATGCCAAGCAGGAGTATCAACCAGCTTTCTCTTAATCATCAGAGGACCAATTTTAGCTTCCCAAATCATGTAAGCGATTTGGAAACTGAATGCACCTTATGGTCTTATAGTCTTTCATTAGTTAATTCACGTTAATTCAAATCCCACATACTCACAGAAATCTTGAACTTAGTCCTTATGGGTCAGCATTTAGCAGTCCTTGTGTGAACGAAGGCTAGCTAAATTTGCATTACAAAGCTTTCCCAGACTTTCCTGACCTGGAAAGGGGAAACAAATTCTCTCAGAGTACACTGACAGAGAACTCACAGACTAACTCAGCCTACTACTGTGAAAACAGCATGCGTCCCCCAAAACACTGGTGCACACAACATCAGTGTAGACTCAGCAGTTCACTTGTCACTTTGTAACATGGCTACTCCTACCTATTCTAGGCTAATTTCTCAAAGCAACTCCAGTGTAAAATGTTCAAGTTAAACCTACAGTGACGTACTGTAAATAATTTTTTTTTCTGGGCCGTTGCAAATTTTTTTCCTTCCAAAGGTGAAAATGATCACTGCTTTCCCTTTGTATTCTTACAGAAGCTACACGAACGTACCCGCCACCGCCAGCATCTACACACGCTGCCTTTAGGCTGAGGCTGGTCTCACACTATCAAACACTTGAAACCAAGTGTCAAGGCTTTATGATGAATTTGAGCAAAAGTTTCTCTGCATACAGAACAGGTTTTAATTGAACACAAATAAAAGGATTAGTGTGCCAGAGAGCTACTAAGAAATTTTGTGTACAAAATTCTCTGAGGAGGAAATGCTACAGAAAGTCAGTCAGAGACTCCCTCAGGTTGATGGAAGATAACAGCATCAGAAGTTATTTGCACTGCTCAACTTTACCTCAGAAAGGTTTATATTAGCAGAGCAATGAAAAACACACATCACTAGTCCAAGTGGGCATCTATTTTCACCTCTCCTACAAAAAGTATCAGGATCTTAAATCTCACCACCTATGAAAACCAACATTACAGACAACAGATATATTTCTCTCTCCTAAGTTCCCCTCTGTGTTAGCCTTGAGGAGTCTAAAAACTTGACAAAGCACAAAATAAGTTATTCCTGTAAACTGCAGCCTGGACAACAGATGCTATTGGAAGACATAATACATACTATATAGTATACTATACCATCCTATACATCCAAGTGAGGTATGAATGTTTTGTTTGGCTGAACAGATATAAGGAACCTGGGAATGGCCTTATTGAAGGTTTTGAGGCATTTTATAATCTCTTTCTCTCCACTTCTCCCAACAAAGGATTTCAGACACAATGTGTTTGACA